AAGCGATGTAATCGCGATCCGGCATGGTTTCACCAGCGCTATGCAGCAGCTGAAGTGAATGCAGATAGGCTAAAGACGCTGCTCATCGTTGCAGCCAGTGACGGCGCATACAATGAATGTCGCGGCCACTGAGGCGCAGACATAGCTCTCGGGGCCCATAACCTGTTGAGCACTGGGGAGAGCGTCTAGCAGCTCACCTGTGTGAGTGAGAGCTTAGTGTGGGCACTATGCGGGAGTAGTCAAGAGACTTGTATTAAAGGGTAATAGAGCCCTCCTTATATATGATACAGGGGGCCGTTTGTGTCTATTTGGAACGAGTTGATATGACTCTAGATGACACGTGATGGAGTCATAGATGTGTATCACGACATCCATCTTGACAGATGATATTTGATCAACAATTCATAGACTGGTTGTGGACAAACACCACAGGACTTATATGATGAAGGCGTGTCACGACGCGCTGGGTCATAAGGGTCTTTTCAGCACTAAGAGCCTGTTGGAAACTCGGTTTTGGTGGCCTGAGATGGAAAGAGACGTCGACTGGTGGATAAAGACTTGTCATAGCTGCCAAGTCCGCCAGAAAACTCTCCTCCGCACTCCGCCGACGCCGACTATGACTCCGAGTGTATTTCAGAAGATACATACAGACGTCATGATTATGGGAACGCCTTCCAACGGATACAGATATGTCGTCGCAGCAAGGGATTCCTTGACCCGCTACGTGGAAGCGCGACCGCTACAGGCTGACAATGCCAAGGCAATCGCGCGTTTCTTGCTCGAAGACATAGTGTGTCGCTGGGGGTGTCCTAAGTGGATTGTAACCAACAACGCAGGACAGTTTGTCGCGGCGTTGAACTGGTTACAGAAGGAATATGGTATCAAGGGAATAAGGATATCTCCTTATAATTCCCAAGCTAATGGCACTGTTGAAAGGGGACATTGGGACATTCGACAGTCACTGTACAAAGCTACTGGGGGAAACGCCTCCAAATGGTTTTGGTTCTTCCCACAAGTCTTGTGGGCGGATAGAATTACAGTGCGTCGCGGGCTGGGTTGCTCACCGTACTTTGCAGTATGTGGGGCCCACCCTACCATCCCTCTGGATATAGTCGAAGCTACGTGGCTAGTCGAGTATCCTGACCAGATCGTCGACTCTGTGGATCTCATTGGTCTCAGGGCACGCGCTCTAGCAAAACACGCAGACCATATTGAAGATATGCGCAGCCGCGTCAGCGACGCCAAACTAAAGATGGTTCAACGCTACAAACTCGAGTACAAGCATGTGATCAAAGATTACAAGTTTGTACCAGGGGACTTAGTGTTGGTCAGGAACACAGCCATTGAAAAATCATTGGACAACAAGATGAAAGCTACATATCTTGGGCCCATGATTGTAGTTTGGAAGACCAAAGGGGGTTCTTACTTAGTCTGTGAAATGAACAGCGCGATGTTCCATGCAAAAGTTGCGGTGTTCCGATTAATACCCTATTTGGCAAGACAGAAGTTGACACTCTCTGAAGATATAAAGAAGCTGATAGATATTTTGCCTGCTAAACTCAATGAGTTGGTAGAGGAAATATCTGACGTCCGCGACTACCAGTTCGAAGGTGTGAAACTTAAGAACTCGGATAGTGACAACAACGACAACCCTGTAGAGGATCCAGCTTCTGTCGAGTGAAAGTCTGGCACGCAAGAAATCTGTTGCGGCAGGCTCTCGCACGGCAAGACGTCACTTATCTTGGATTTTAGACAGAATGCAGTATATTGCTTGGGTGCTAGCTGGTACCTAAGGACTATACTGGGTTGTATCTAAAAGAAAAAGGTCATAAAGGAGGTGCGTGAGAAGAAGAGACGCGACTTCATAAATAAATAACATGAGAGAAAGAGACATATGGAAGGAGAGTGCATATAGAACAAACTACGAAAAATTAGGCCGCATTCTTCGACATCGAGAGGTCAATGGCCTCCTTGACGTCCTTGAGCGCGGTCTTCCATTCCTCTAGCTGCGACGTGATGTAGTTGCGTTCCTCGATGAGGAGCTCGAGTGGAATGGACCGCTGCAACCGGTACAATTGATGTCAATGCACTCGGTCCGCAATAAACCTTTGGTCGGACGCGGACGCTACCAATCGGTTAGCAAAGTGTTGCGGCGTGGAGTGAAACTGCGAGACTCACTTGGGGTTGCATCAGTGGTACTGTTGCTGAGTCGCTGCCTCTTCAAGCCAGTGACATCCGCGTGAAGTTTCGACATTTTGGTGCTGAGAAGACGCATTGACCTATCGTGCTTGTCTATGAGTCGGATAATAGTCCCATAGACGTCCGCGAGCCCTATGGAGTTGTCATGATGAGAACCGTCGACCAATCAAGAACCAGACCATCCTGTGATGGTCTTGCGAGTAGATGGTTGCGGGGTCTGAGAAAAATCAACCTGTGCTCGACAAGACTCAAGATGGACGCACCTTCTCTTGAACAGGAGTGGGGGCCTCCATCTCGTCGTCTGAATCAATGTTGATGGCAGGAGTTGAGCCTGAAGCCTCAGGAACAGGGTCTTTGGCCTGTGCAACGGTATCCGTAAGAACATCTGGATGAGGACTGAGAATCATACCTTGGCCTTCCCAGACGACGACGGAGAAACAGCAGGTCGCGGAATACTTTCCTGAGCTTGTCGCATGCTGATGATCGCCGCAACAAGGGACTCATGCCAAACCAGATAGGCTCGATACTTGTTGACGGCCTTAGTCTGGGAGGCGTTGCGCTGCTTCTCAGGAACTTCCTTGAGCAGTTCCATCTGAGACAGAGCAAGAGTGGTGGCCTCCTTGAGACAATCCAAAACGTCGCGGGGAGGATCTTGAGCAGCAAACGAGCTAGCTTGAAAGCGGGTCTGTTGACGAGATAAGATAATCTTGCCGCAACACGCCATCACGAAACAACTTACTCAAACAAAGAAAATATCCTTGCCGACGCTGAGGATGCCCTCTGAACCACCTAGACCCAGCTTGTTCATCGCCGCGAGAGAAGGCTTAGCCTTCTTCCACGACGCAACGAGTGATGCGAAGTCTTGGGGGAGAGGAAACACGGACATAGCAAGGCCTGGATAGAGAGAAAGAATAGGAACAAAATAAGGACTGAGAATGGGACTGGACATGACCTGTTGAGCCCACCCAGACTTTATATTGTCGACTCTGGAAAAACTTTTCTAGTCGCGCATCAGGTAAGCCGAGGACGGCTTAGATCTGTGTTCCTGGGAGAGGGCAGATCTTACGAAAGATCAGCCACAGAGTCCGCAGAAGTACACACATTGGAAATTGAGGTGCACGACAACGTGCACACCCCTTGGACCCATGTGCTGGAAAGTGGAAAATCCAATGACGCTACTGAGGACGGGGTCTGGGACTTTTTCAAAATGTTTCATGAAAGTTCTACCAAGAACTTTGAAAATTTCGACTCAAAGGTTCACACAATGACGACTCAGGCAACAAGATGTGGTTCGGATTATTCTACAACGACGATACGATGTGTGCAATGTAATAAATAAAAATTCGGGGCCGCGACGTTCACGGACGGTGGAACGAGCTGGACTACTGCTCATCCACCTCCATGGCAGTCTCCCCCACGGCGTCGGAGCCCTCGTCCTTGACGTTCTCGTCGTCGACTTTCTTGTCGACGACATTCTTGTTGTCAGCGGACTCGTCTTCTTCACCCTCCGCGTCTTCACCTGAATCGGCCTTGGTTGACTTGGCCGAGGTCTCCTTCTAGTTGTCAGAAAAGTCCAAGACCTGGAGGACGGCTTGGGACGACGACGCAACGGGAGGCGGCGACGGCAAAGGCAGGGATGGTGAGAAGGGTGCACGAGTACGACTGCTTGCCAAGTGCGCCACGTCGATCTCGTGGTCTTTGCCGGGTTGGAAGGCTTGATCCTGGACGGTCACAGGGTCCGACTTGTCGAATTCCTGGGCCTTCTCGATCTCCTTCTGGAACTGCTTCTCCATCTTCTCCATCTCGCGATAGAAAAATGGGTCGAAGAAAGCAGGGGGCGCTGCAAACCGCTCGTTCGCCTTGCCATCCAACGAGTCCCCGGGAGCCAGGATCATCCGGACACCCTTGGGATGTCGGCCAACTCGGCGGCGTCGATCTCGGTCGCGGTGTGGACGAACATCGCCTTGATGCGTTCGTCGGAGCCGTCGTCGAAGTGCTCCTTCAACTGACCAACGAAATCGCGGAACTGGCCAATGGCCAGGACGCAGATCTTGTTGGCCGTGCGAAGAAGCCCGCCGTACACGTCCAAAGTGTCGGCAAGATGATTGGCGGACTTGTTGAGATCTGAAGAAGTCGTCAGAAAGGCTCATAGACAAAAATGAAAGAGATTAAAGGATGCGTACCATCTGCGCTCATCTGCGCAATGTACCCAAAGCCTTGCCCCATATAGAGCTGCTCTGCGGGCTTGTAGCCGTTGGTGCAGGTCTGTTTGTACAGCACGCATGGGGCACATTGATTGCCGTGGCACCCATCGACGCTCTTGAAACAGACGCATTGCCACGTCACGCACATTGCGCAAGGCCTTGGAGCAACCTCCTATGAAAGAGAGTCAGTCATCGAGGCACGGCAGAAAGAGATAAAAAGAGACGTACGAAGTCGGTTGGCACCTCGATGCCGGCCCTCTCCAACTTCCCCGCGAACCCTTGGCGTGCCACCGAAAGGAGCGCCTCGGTGTCATAGGCGGCGGGAGTAAAGGGAGCTTGGGGCGTGGGGGCCGACGCCTTTGCAGGAGTCTAGAAACAGTCAAGTCAGTAAAAGTCGACGACAAGAAGGAGCCGCAACTCGCCGAGTCAGACTTCTTCTTGGCTGCCGCAACAGACTTGTCCATCTTCTGGCAGTGTTGTTGATAAGTAGTTAAGGTCTTAACTTGACCAGGCTTATTATGTACTTAACTTAAGATAAGTTGAACCCTTAACATCGGTGTAAAACATAATAAGGCTCTTAATAAGTCTTAATATAGAATTACCTACACTGGCAGCAATTCCCATGAACAGACAACATCCACGTACCAGCTCGTGGCTTCCAACCACCCTCTCATCTCTCTTTGGGGGAAAGTCTCAAACCCCATTGTGATGGCCTGTTGCGAACGCGTGGTGTCGGAGGAAGCACTGTACATGGAGCTGTTAGCTGCCAAACATGACAATGAAGCACCGGATGCAGGTGCTCTTGAGGGCTCTGGAGATGAATACGCGCCGTAGAAGTTTTCTTGTAATGTTTTGAACCAGTATTGACGCAAATAAACTCATTTGGGACTTGAATACAAATCGGGTAATAAGCCTTATAAAAGACCCTTAAAATAGGCACCCTTAATAACTCTTACCTTGTCCTAAGACCTTAATTTCAGCAGACACCCTTAATAACACCCTTATCTACAACACTGTCTTCTGGGCCTTGAGCTTGGCCTTGGCCGCTGCAGCGTTCCGCTCGTGACCAAGGGTCGCGGCCACCCTGCCCAACTCGCTGCGTGGAGTCTTGGTAGCGGCGGGGGCCGCCGGGGCAACCTAGAAAAGAAAAGAAAAACGATTAGTCGACGTCTGGAACACAAGACTTGTGTCTCACCTTAGGCGCTGGAGTTGGGGTAGTCGTCGGTCGCGGGCCACTCGCCTTGTGACTGGCCTCCAACTTCGGCACCGGTTGGCGAGACGCAGGCTTGGTTGACTTGGACGATCCATCCGCGACCTTCTTGATTGGCTAAAAAGTCGGATTAAGGGGCGTGGTCTGGGAAAAAGAGGAGGCAGCTCACCTTAGGCTTGACGCGGGTCTCGATGGCCTGCTTCTTGGCCACGACGAAGTTGCCGGTCTCCTCTCCACTCTCGGAGGTGTTGTCCATAACGATGATGGACGGGGCTACGAAAGTGTGAGTAGACAACAGAAGACAAGAGGAAAAACGCACTCATAATCGATCATGCTTTCCCCTTGGACTTGGACCCCTGTCAAAAGCAAACCAACCATGAGACAAAACAATCGCGATCGACGAACTGGTGCACTTGCCTGAAGGGCCAGTTCGTTGGCCAAAGACGCGTCTCCCTCCTGAGCCCCCTCGTCGTCAACCTCCATTGCGGTGCCGGCGACGGCGGCGGCTTCCTCCTCACTAGAGGACTCGGTTGGCAGGGATAACGCCTGGATCCGGGCTGGGAGGGTCAAAGTGGTTAGTCTAACGATCAACGAAATAAGACATAGGGCGGACACACCTGCGCGGTGCGCCTTCTTGAAGCGGCGCATGGAAGGTGACCCCTGAGGAACAGGGACCGAGGTAGCGGCTATGACAAATCAGTACCCACGACTTCGGTGAATCAAACGAAAAGCCATGTACGGGTAGGCGCATGGGACGACGCCTTGGGCTCCTTGTGGGGAGCCACCTTGGGTCGCTTCTCGTGCAACTTCTCGTTCGACTTCTGGGCAACGGCAACCTTGCTGCCTGCGACGGCGGTAGAGGCCTGCGACTTGGAGCCGTCACCCTTCCCCTTCTGCTTGGCAGACCGGGACGATGAAGGGGCAATGACTTGCTCGGTTTGAGCCGCCTGGAAGTCGATCAGAACATGGTTAAACGAACAAAACAGAGCATACGTACAGGCTCGACGACGCGCTTGCATTTCTTGGGCAGCAATGACTCCTCGACTGGAGCATTGGTGGTTGAAGGCGCAGGCGCCGGCTAGTCCTTACGTTAGTAAAAAGAAGGATAAGCCAAAGTGAACAGACATGGCAATCATTGATTGCCGTGACTGTTTGCTCCAGCGGGCTTAGAGCGGGGCTCACCTGTCGAATCTGGTGGATGTTGACGGCCATCTGCCGCAACATCTGGTTGTAGGCCTCGGGGCTAGGCAGGTGGTGAGCTGAGTCGACAAGCCATGAGAGAGACATTGACTGACGGCATGAACTGCCGCCAGTCGATGACAGGCGGGTTTATTCCCGGGACAGCTGATTCGGGGACGGCTGATGGACGGTTAGCGTGGTTGAAAAGTCGCGGTAATCGCCTGAGGCGTCACTCACGGTTGTTGTCTTGGGGGCGGGGGCTCTGGTCGGGCGTGGACATGGTGGTCAAAAAGCAAGAGTGTCTCGTACTAGGGAGACTCTCAACCCTGAAAATTAAAGGAATTTATATGGTGAACATGCCGGAAGAAGTTTGATCGCGGCAGATCACGGAGGGAACCAAACAACCAAATGAATAAGACGTGGGAACATAACTCTATGTCAAAATTAGTGTTCCTGGGAGATGATAGGCTGGCTACCAGACGTGCTCTGCACCAGCTCTGTAAGGGCGTATTTTTGCGCTTTTACAGAGTTTACTCTTGAACCATTCGGTGTATCGTGTCGCGGTTGACAGTGTTGCGCTCAGTAGGATTTAAGGGTCTACTGCCCAGTCGACAACTGTGGATAGTGTCAACAATAGCAAGGCAGTCAGACCACTACTGTGGAATTGGTCTTATGAGTCTACACCAGGCTCAGGGCTATTAGTGATGGACACTTGGACCGCAACAATTCCCCAAAAAGGGATACTTTGTTGCGGCGACTTCTCAAAAAGGGTCATTCTCTGCAGATGGGAACTTGGGCTGAAGGGCTTAGCAATGCGCGACGTTCTCAATATTACAACTATTACTGGACAGGACTTGGCGTTACGATATTGAACCAATCTTGTTGCAGCAACTCCCGGTTTTGGGTTAGATGTTTCCTCAGATCATGCCATGGCGACGACTTGTCACATGTCAGGATCCACTCGATCACGGGACATTGTGGACGAGTTGCGGTGACACTTCCAAGTGTCACGGCGAGTCGCGCCCATACCCAAACACACTAAAATTGACACGGGCTAGATCCATGAACCGAACCATGTGAGGAACGACTGGCATGCCTAGGACCATACGGCTTCTTGGGGCACCCACGTTGGACTCACTCGCCAAGACATACCGGTTGGCCAATCCAGCACGTCGTATTCCAAAAGTATGATGCAGTGGGTTGTGTAAGGGCAACCTCGAGACCCGATCTCAGAGTTCTGGCAAGGGAGAATCCAAAGTGTCAATAGTGGTAGCTAGGTACAAGACCGGCATACCTGGCAAGGGAGAATCCAAAGAGAAACCGTGTTGGGGATTCTCCTTGCCAGGCGCGACTATTTATATGATACAAGAATAATAGAGCGTGCAGCGACAAACAAAGAACAATGGGGACAATAAGTACAATGGCCGTTGGAGAACAATAGGAAACCAAGACAGTGGGAACGATGGGACACCTGACCATGTGCCCATCAGAGAGAAGCGCTCGGCGCGGCAGTCCGGGCCGCGGTACATGACAGCTGGCAGGTCACGCAAGCGCGATCGCACGCCAGATCCCAAGCTGATCGATCAGAAGAGGGGGTTCCCCTGACAGGTTGACCCACATCAAAAGTACCATATGGACTATGGGGCGGGGTCCTGATCATTCAGGACCTGTCTGATTGTTCAACTTTTCATTACCATAAAAAGCAACTGATCTTAGATAGCGTAGCTACTATGCAGTTGTACAGGACTTTACTAAGCATTGTCGTAGACAGTATAAGTAGTGCGTTGTTTCTTTGTATTAGGAAGCTTTCCCCCAGACTGTGAATCATCCTCATATCAGATTGTTTTTGTGCAATTTGCGTGTCGCGTGATTCTGCCCTAAGAAGTTCTGTTGCCCCTGCCCGGTTGCGACGAGTTGCTCCCTGAGCACTTGTAGCTACTGTGATTTGAGTTTGAGTTGAGATATCAGAAAGTCGGATTTGCCGCATCTGGTTTAGTCGCGGCATTTAGTGTCGTCGCCTTCGGGCTTTGTTGAGATCGTTCCACACCTCTAGCCTGGCAGTGTGTCGACTAGTTGTGCTTGGGTTTTTTTGGTCAGTTGGCAGTGCGTCGACTTGAGAACTTTGGTTCCACACTTCTTGCTTGGCAGTGCGTCGACAAGTTGTGCTCGGGTTTTGGACATTGGATATTGGCTGTTAGTTGGCAGTGCGTCGACGCGGCATTTTGGTTTACTAGTTGGCAGTGCGTTGACTCAGTACTTTTGGTTGTGTCAGTTGGCAGTGCGTCGACTCGACATTTTGGTTTACTAGTTGGCAGTGCGTCGACTCAGTATATTGGTTGTATCGGTTGGCAGTGCGTCGACTTGATATTTGGGCTTTGCGTCACCACCTGGACGCTGTCGCTACAAGGGATCTTAATACTCCGTATCAAGCTCTGACTTGTTATATTGTTGGTTGTGATTGGATTAGTGTTGGTTGTGTTCATATAGAAGATATTGGTTGAGACACCACTGTTTACTATATATAAATTCTTGTTGTCGACTTCGTCTCCCGCGACTATTGATCTGCGTCTATTGAGAGTTGCGATACTGGTGTTCTGTCCACCCTGAAGCCCTCGCACCTTTCACACACTGAGAAGCTGATTACAAGGAGTGTGAACGTGTTTATATTTGGGTTTACTTTCATAGTAGATTCACTTGTGAGCACGCCCTCAGCATTTCACCGTCCCCTCCCCCCATTGTACCATTGTCGCCCGATCTGGTGCACCAAAATCAACCCAGGACCTCTAATCCCTATCTTGCCCTCCCACCACCTGAAGACAAGATCCCGGACCTCGACAAGTTACCCTCCAAACAACCACCTCCACCTACCACGCCTGCTCCTACCATGCCAGGACATCACCGCATCACCCTCACCGCCAATACTCCCTACTTCGATGGCAACAAATCCAAGTACCTGGGCTTTGTGGACGCGTGCACCACTTACATTGGTGCCTATCAATCGGAGTTCTCACTGGACGAGACAAAAATCCTCTTCGTCCTCTCCTACCTCCGTAATGAGGCCGGCACAAGCTGCGCTGCCTCAAGATGGGCGATGAACTGGAAGCAGCACAATTTCGAGGGTTTCCAAGGAATGAAGGCGGGAGTCACCGCGACAACCTTCCTGGAGGAGCTCCACAGGGCCTTTGGAGACTCTAACGCAGAACAAGTCGCTGCTGCCCGACTCATGGCCCTTTGTCAGGGCAGGCGGTCCTTTGCGGACTACATCTCCGACTTCGAAATGCTGGCTGCAGACGCCGGATACAACGTGGTCACCACCACCAATGATCAGGGCGAATACAAGAAGGGGGATCAGGACAATATCGTCATCAAGTTTCTTGAGCGCAGGCTCAGCAGCGAGATTGCGAGCCACCTCAACTGGTGTGTCAACATCGAGGCCAACGCCTTGCGCGACCAGCTGCGTAAGGCATCCTATGCGCACTCGACTCCATGGCCTCCCCCCCAATTCCACCCTCAGGCGGCACCAGTGGCGCCCACACCTGCTCCGACCCGGCCGGCTGCCAACGAACCAGTCCTGATGGAAATCGATTGCACCCATGCCTGCGGCCGCAATATCATCTGCTACAACTGTCAGCAGCCTGGGCACATTGCGCGGAATTGTCCGGAGCCCAAGAAGAAGCGCACGTTCTTCAATCGGGCCACAATGCTAGAAGAGATCAAGAACAGGGACAAGGACAACAAGTTCCTCAAGGAGATTGCCAAGAAGCTGCGCAAAAAGGGTTTTTGAAGCGCTCCACTCCTCTAGCCAAGGAGGTGGAGCGTCCGGACTATGGACAATTTTCTGTACTTGTTTCAATTAAAGATATGAACGATCCTTCACATACATACACGATCTCAGACTCACTATGTATCAATATTCACGATTTTCTTGTTGCTGATATGGAAAAAGAACACCAAAGAAAATAGATTTAAATAGAGAGCATTTACAGAATAAAAAAGATCAGAAGACTGCAGATAAATTATTGGACTCCTATGTATTTATGGCTTGTGGAGAAGAAACCACGTCAACAAAGACCAAAAAGGGGAGCATTGCTCATTGCTCCAGAGGCTCGATCCTTGAAAAAGGAGGAAGCGCCTAAGGAATCTGCCAAAATCAAGGTTCCAGAAGCACCCAAACGCACCAGGGTGCCAGATGCTGTCCAGAGGAAATTGGTGGCCAAGAAGCAGAAGGGCCCCCAGCCCAGCAGACTGGCGCAGGAATTGCGCAACTACCAGGCCAAAAGGAAGAGGCATTTGATGGACGTGAATGTCCAGATCATGGGCCTGGACTCGGGAAAGACACACAGAGTAAAGGCGCTACTTGATAGTGGCTGCAGTACCTGCTGCATTGATACCGACTATGCGTGGGCAGAGAAGTTGGATATCCAGGAACTCCTGCAGCCCATTGTAGCTTGCAATGCCCACAACACCAAAAACATCAACGGTCAGATCACGCATTACGTTGACCTGAGGATGAGAATTGGTCCTCATGTGGAGACATGCACGTTCCTTCTGACGTGTCTAGGGAAAGCTCAGATCTTCATCGGCCTGGATTGGCTGATGGAACACAACCCTGAGGTGGATTAGCAGGAACAGACCATGAGATTCAGTCGATGCCCAGAGCAGTGTCACATGAGGGGTCACGAGGAACATCAAGCAATGATTGACATGGATGCAATCGACCTGGACACGGGCACACCGGATCTGGAAGAGGGAGAATCGATCCTGTTGGTCGACTTTGGGAAGGAAGTGGATCTGCGACTGAAGGAAATGCCAGCGCAGAAATTTGCAGAAGAAGCAGAAAAGGAGAAGGAGAGAATGACCGAGGGAAAGATTCCGGATCAATATCGGGGATTTGTCAAAGTGTTCGCCAAGGAATTGTTCGACTCACTACCAGACCAACGGGCATGGGATCATGCGATTGAGCTCAAACCTGGTTCCAAAGCAGTGGACTGCAAGGTGTACCCGTTATCACGCAATGAACAAGTCAAACTCGACGAATTCTTACAAGAAAACCTGGCCAGCGGACGGATCAGGCCATCAAAATCACCCATGGCTTCAGCATTCTTCTTTGTCAAAAAGAAGGATGGTTCGCTACGCCCCGTCCAAGATTATTGGAAGCTGAATGAGTGTCAGGGGAACCCCCTCTTCTGATCGATCAGCTTGGGATCTAGCATGTGATCGCGCTTGCGTGACCTGTCAGCTGTCACATACCGCGGCCCGGACTGCCAAGCCGAGCGCTTCTCTCTGATGGGCACATGGTCAGGTGTCCCATTGTTCCCATTGTCTCGGTTTCCTATTGTTCTCCAACGGCCATTGTACTTATTGTCCCCATTGTTCTTTGTTTGTCACTGCATGGTCTATTGTTCTTGTATCATATAAATAGTGGCAACTGGCAAGGAGAATCCCCAACACGGTTTCTCTTTGGATTCTCCCTTGCCAGGTATGCCGGTCTTGTACCTAGCTACCACTATTAACTCTTTGGATTCTTCCTTGCCAGAACTCTGAGATTGGGTCTCGAGGTTGCCCTTACAGCAGAAACCGTGTTCCTAGGGATAACTGGTCAAGATTGCGAGGTTTGACGCCGATAGTAACAGCGGAGATAAGTCGACGAGCGACCAAGACCGCCAATCCATCACCTCTTTTCTTGCCCCCTCCTCCCCTCCACGAGCACACTCGACCAGCATGGAGGACGACAACTCCCAGCATTGACTGTCCACTCTGGAGACCAGCATCCAGAACATCGAAGCCGTACTCAATCGGCTCCTCAACCAACCACAACCCCCTACCCCTGCCCCTGCACCAGCTCCGGCAGTGGGTCCAGGTGTTTCTGCTGGCTTGCAGTCAAACACTGCACGCCCCCTCATCCGTCCCAACCCCCCCTTCTTGTTTGATGGGGATCGCACCTTGGGCAAGAAGCTGGTGAAGCAGTACTGGTGTCATGGATCTAAGACATTTACAATTTATATTTGTAAATGTTGACTGATTGATTTAATGCTTCTTCGTGATCAATGGATCAAAAACCCTTAGTTACAGTATATGATTTACATAGCCTTTCTCTGCCTTGCTGCGTACATAGCATTTCTGACATTTACTACGGAGCGCAGCTATAAGCTATGAACACAGCCTTTTTGTGTAAATTATATAAAAGATTGACCCTCTCAGTGGAGGGGCATCTTACCTTTGAAATCACATCTGTTATCTACACTCTGACTTGCCTTTGAAGCTTACAAGCTTCATAACTCTTATCAATTACATCTACTGCGTTGCTAAACCGGTAGTTTATTGATATATTATTCTACGTTCGCATTTTGCTAAATCTGTGAACTCAAGAGTACTCTAATTGTTGATATATTCAACAATTCCCGACTACCGGATATTGGACCCATTATATAAGAGTCCCAATAAACCCCGCTCTTGCGTCAATAAGATTAATAATCATAACTGCGTGATTATTCAACACAAATCTATTGATTTTGTTAACATTGGTGGACTATACCGGAGACTCTTTACTTAAAAGGTCTTCTATCCTATCATGTCTATCATTTCGACTTTTCCTGTAGCTGCAACCACGGCACCCAGGAAACAATCCTCATCACCACAACGCCTAAATACAGAGGCAATTCAACCAATCGTCACTACTGACAACACAACGGTTGCTAACGACGAGAACATCTCACTAACGCCACCCGGTATACGAAATCCATCCCCAGCCCATTCTAATCGTTCCAATCAGTCACACTGCTCCCTTCAGTCCAACCTCAATCGTACCTCAGCCATGCCTCGACCAGACTTTATCGAAAGACAGGCAGAAGAAATAAAGAGGTTCGAGGGCATGGGCGAGCTAGTCCTTTTTCACGGGGTACTAGAGAAATGGGCACGAAATGATCAAATCCCGGATCAACCAGCCGATTTTACATTCGATTCAGCGCAACCACTGCACATAATAGGTCGTGATCAGGCAGCACGCAAACGACGTATGAAATGTATTGAATTGGCTGAAGAATTTGGAAAAGCATGGCTATTGACAGCCCGTTCGGCACCTATAGAACTGTTTCGTGGACCTCTAGCTGCGGAATTGCAATTACTTGAGTCACTCTTGAATCATTTAATCGTGGCCGAATTCAACGAAGGCATCTCCTTGGGCATCAAGATATCTTTTAATGATTATCAGATACTTCGGCATATTCTAGGGCTCTTATTAGACCGGTCCAAGCACGCTTTCGTATTAAACCAACGAACAATTCCGGAGCTTCCATCTTGGGGTAACTCCCGCGATGTGGAACATGAATATTTCGACGTTAATGATATGGAAATCCTCTCGGTCTGTTTCCGACTGGAGGTAGAAGTCTTCCTGGCTCAAATCGCAGAGAACTTCGATTTTTCTAGTAATGAACCAATATATCGAAATAGATTTGCAGCTACAGAGGCCACTGAATATATGAAGCGAAGAGACTCGGCTCTGGGACTGGGAGATACACAACGACTAGAAGGAAACTCTCACGACATAAAAAGAGAGAACCCACAGCATGATGATCAAATCGCAGAATTCTACGGCGTTTCTGGCTCGTTGTTGCCTTACCAATCGCCAACAGTACGATACGGCTCATTAGCAGCGGAAGAAATAAGAACTAAACCTCGGCGCAGATTAGCAGAGGTCTACGACGATTTTGGCCGTTCAATATCTCCATCAAGAAATTCGCCCGGAAGACCCAGTTTGAATAATATATCTGGCAGGCAGGTACGCTTTCAAGACCGCAGCGCAGCTTTTGCAACAGGGGGAAATCCTGACAATGGTGATGACGGAGATGACGACGATTATCGAGGATCAGGAGGACGACGCCTACCGAATTTTCCATATCGCCCAAACCGACCATTTCGCACAGGATCAGATCCGGGAAGAAACGGAAATGGAGGAGGAGGAAGTCCGGGTAATGGCGGGTCGCCAGGAGGGGGCGGAGACGATCCCGACAATGGAAATAATCCTCACCGTATGCCAATGAATCGAGTGCCACGACCGAATCCTGATAACCTGAACATGATCAAAAGAGCTCATTTTGATATGAAGCTTAAGTATGATAATGTACCCAGGTGGGACGGAAACTCGGATACGTTAATTCGATGGTTAAAAAAGATGAACGATCTGGCCAGGGAGTCCGACATGGTGCTGGAGCAATTAGGACGGATAGTGCCTAAAAGATTGGAAGGTAAGGCAGAAATATGGTATTATTCTTTGCCACAGGAATATCGTTTACAGATTGAAGAAAATTGGTTGACGCTCAGAACAGCAATTACTGACTTCTATATTACTCGTAAGTGGCTGGATAAACAGAAAGGGAAAGCTAACCGTGCTCGTTACAGGGAACAAGGCCATACTCATGAATCACCAAGTGAATATTATATTCGCAAGACGGACCTACTAACTACAGTCCACAACATGAGTGACTCAGAAATTATTACAGAAATAATGGAAGGAGCCCCGTCACTCTGGAACACCATATTGAACACGGAACAACACACCTCCTTGGTTCAATTCCAGAGCGCCATTAATTATCATGAGGACGCTCTTATGAAATTAGATGACCGGGACCGTATCATGACTCAGGATCAATATCGGCGCGACCGACAGCGAGATTCGGGCAACTCTAGAATTCATGACAATATTAGAGTGCACTTAGTGGGGTCCTTCGAAAACCTTGCTCCTCCTAAATTCCCTAAAGACGACTCCACAATTTCGAAACGGGCTACCCCAGAGTCTAAAGGCGCTAGGCCTTGTCGTCATTGCGGGAGTGGGAAACATTGGGATAATGAGTGTAAACACGCTTTCAAGGCCAAAAAGATAGCTCGAACAAATCTAGTATCCGTTGACAACGAAGAAGAAGAAGCAAATGACGAATACGACGATTTATATTATTCGCTAGAAACCGATAACGAGCAGGATTTTGAGTCATCCCTTCAGACTACTGAATCAGTCAGAGTTCATTTGGCAGTAACCCAGAACTTAAAATTACTGGCGACAGACCTGGAGGGAGGACAATTCGAGGGAAATCCATCAAACAAGGACCCAACAGAAGGGTTACACTACCCCGAGAAACCGGTATTAAACCGAAGATCTAGACGAAGAATGGCCAGAGAGATCAATTCGAGATCATATCAAATTGTTTTGAACAGTGATCAACCATTGATCGAGCTGAAGAAATACATGGCTAGGCCATCAGGATGTTCCTTTTTGGGGTCAAAGGCAACCCAGACTACAGCCACCGTAGGAGGAATTGGGAGTAATCGCATCTCAGTAATCGTGGATTCGGGATCAGACATTACCCTCATATCCGACAAATCTCTCTCTAAACTGACAGGGGTCATGAGACCGAAGACTGGACAACGAATAAATCTCGTACAAGTTACGGGTAAAGCTTCAATCTCAGGATTTGTGACTCTCGATCTATTTTTCGAGACACAACAAGGGCCAGTCAAGATGAATGTAGAAGCATATGTCTTAAAAGGAATGACCACGCCTTTCATCCTCGGCAACGATTTTACGGATCAATATTCAATTTCAATCCGCAGAGAAGAAGGGAAATCTTATCTAGTTTTCGGTGATTCTGGCCGAGAACTACAAGTAGAAACGTCCACGGCACCGCTCAGACTAGACGAGGACGGACATGCTTTCAAAGTACGAGTTATTCCTGGCCTTCAAGCCCGAGGTCAGAAAGCGGCCTTGCACAGGAGAAAGTGGAAACTTAAGAAGCAAGCTAAAGTCCGTGAGGACAAGCAGGAGGTTCGGGCAGTAAAGCGAGTAATTATCGCGCCTGAAACAAGCTCAATAATCCCGATTAAGGTATATTTTCCGCAAGGACAAGAGACCCTATTCGTTGAAAGGAAGATTAATGGGGTAGGGAAGGATGATGATATATACGGGTCCCCAGACACGTTCATATCACGGACAAATCCAACCATTCACATCGCGAACTTCTCCCGCAAGCCTGTCGTTATTGTTGAAGGACAAGTCGTGGGTAAAGTAAAAGACCCCAAAAGATGGCTGGATCGAATAAATAAATTCTCTAAGGAGGAACAGAATCAAATACATCAGCACGCCGCGCTGATAAAACACATGATGGAGCTACAAGATGCAAGAACGAGCTCTAAAGAGCAACATATAAATCAAGCAGACTCAATTTCGGCAACCATACGATCAGAATCAATACAAACCTCAAAGGCAGCGCGAAATTTACTAGATAAAGACGAACCAGATGCATCAGAACCACTTGAAGGGGGACCGAAAACAGCTGAGGTCCCTCCGGACTTGGTTCCACGGGAAAAATTACTCAAAGAAATCGATTTCTCACCAGACATTAGCAATGGCCAACGAGCTCAATTGGAAGAAATAGTAGTGCGACACGAGAAAGCGTTCGGATTAGATGGACGACTCGGCAGCTACGAAAGCCAGGTAGAAATAAAAATGAAACCAGGAGCGGAGCCAATTTCTCTTCCACCATATCCAGTGTCGCCCGCAAATCGTGAAGTAATTGACAAACAAATGGACGCTTGGATTCAATTAGGAGTAATTGAACCATCTAAGAGTCCATGGGCCGCTCCAGTATTTATTGTCTATCGAAACGCAAAACCTCGCATGGTTATCGATTTGAGACGCTTTAATGAGATGGTTATTCCGGACGAATTCCCCCTTCCCCGGCAGGAAGATATACTTCAAGCATTATCCGGTTCACAATGGCTTACTACTCTTGACGCCTTATCCGGTTTTACGCAACTCACCATGTCTGCTGAGTCATCCGAAAAGCTAGCCTTTCGCACTCATCGAGGCCTTTGGCAATTCAGAAGAATGCCATTTGGATATCGAAACGGACCAAGCGTATTTCAGAGAGTAATGCAAAACGTACTGGCGCCTTTTCTATGGATATTTGCACTGGTATACATCGACGATATAGTGGTATTCTCGCTGACCTTCGAAGAACATTTGAAGCACTTAGATCAAGTTTTCGAAGTCATCAAAAAGGCAAATATTACTCTCTCTCCAGCCAAATGTCACCTGGCTTACCAATCATTACTGCTCCTGGGGCAAAAAGTGTCCCGACTAGGACTTTCTACACATAAGGAGAAAGTCGAAGCGATTACTCAACTAGCCGAGCCCCGCAACGTGCATGAGATCCAACAATTTCTTGGTATGATGGTTTATTTTTCTACATATATACCATTTTACTCTTGGATAGCTCAACCTTTATTTCAGCTGTTACGAAAAGACACTCCATGGATGTGGACAGAAGTACACAAGGAGGCTTTTGAACTGTGTAAACAAGTTCTCGTTAACGCCCCAGTAAGAGCGTATGGAATAACTGGGCGACCTTATCGAGTCTATACGGATGCGTGCGACTACGGACTCGCTGGGATTCTACAACAGGTACAACCGATCAAAATACGAGATCTCCAAGGAACAAAACTGTATGAACGGTTAGAACGCGCCCATAAAAACAATGAGCCAATCCCAGTTCTAGTAACAGCCATTAAGGGCATCGCCGATGTACCAGAGCCTGGATTGTGGGCGGATCAGTTCGAAGAAACCACAGTACACATAGAACGGGTGATAGCGTACTGGTCAAGAATTTTAAAATCCCCCGAACGCAATTATTCCCCTACAGAACGTGAAGCTCTGGCATTGAAAGAAGCTCTAATCAAGTTTCAACCCTACCTAGAGGGTGAAATCGTGGCAGGAATAACGGATCATGCGGCTCTAACATGGGGACGAACTTTTCAGAATGTAAATCAGCGCCTACTTACCTGGGGACTAGTATTTTTGGCCTTCCCCAATCTCAAAATTGTTCACCGAGCAGGAAGAGTTCATTCTAATGTGGACCCCATATCTCGACTGAGACGAAGAGTGCCATACCAGGAAAGTCCAAACACAGAAGGACTGCGAACCGTAAAATTACACGAGGGAACGGATCCTCTCAAAGACATGTTTGCAGATTTGGGTCCTCGTTTCGAGGAAAAGCTTCTGCAAATAGCCTCACGATCAGTGCGTGAAGAAGAAGAGATGGCGGAAGATCATTCCCTAAACTTGGGAGAAATACCATTGGACGTAAATGGAGACATACGGGCCGATTTCGTCAGCTCTAGCAGCTACAACATTCTAATAGGAATCTCTGACGAAGAATTAGCGCGATGGACCACTGGATACGACAATGATTTACATTTCAGTAAAGTGATCGCTTCACGAAAAGATGAGAAAGACTGGATAAATCCTGATTTCCCGCAATACCATTACAGCGATAATGGTTTGATCTACATGGAGGACTGGGAGGGAAATAATCGGCTATGCGTCCCAAGACCCCTACAAGTGGAAGTCATGGCTGAGATGCACAATACGCTTACAGAAACAGCGCATGCAGGTTACCACCGTTGCTATAATAAATTAGCAACCAACTATTACTGGCCCGGGATGGCACGGGATTTGAAAAGATACATAAGCACATGCGATATCTGTCAAAAATCAAAGCCCCGAAGGCATGGACCAACCGGACTATTACAACCAATTCCAATCCCAATGCAACCCTTTGAAGTCATCACAATGGACTTCATTCCAGACCTACCTCGGTCAGGGGAATATAACAATATTCTGGTCATAGTGGATAAATTGACCAAATATGGGCTATTCATTCCTTGCACAACGAACATATCAGAGGACGAAACAGCAAGACTGGTATTCAAGAACGTCTTTGCAAAATACGGAATAGCGCGCCAGGTTATAACAGATCGAGACACTCGATGGAGAAATGATTTTTGGGGAGAAATATGTAAGTTGATGAACATAAAGAGAGCACTAACAACGGCGTACCATCCACAAGCGGACGGACAAACAGAAAGCCTGAATCAAACCCTAGAAATAGCCTTGCGAGCATACGTGGGCCCATCTAGGGACGACTGGGCAGAACTTTTGGACGGATTTGCACTGGCATACAATTCAACACCACACAGTAGCACAGGATTTTCTCCAGCTTTTCTGTTAAACGGTTATCACCCTATAACGGCATCAACATTGATATCGAGCTCTAATTTTATTCCAAGACCAAGTAATAAAATTAGAGCTGGAGGGGGTGAAGTGACCGAAACAACACAATTGGATACACAGAACGAGAAAGCCCAATTAATGGTTGAAATATTTGAAGAGACTCGGTCTCGAGCCAAGGAGGCGCTACTATTATCGCAAGTATTCCAGAAGAAGGCCTATAACAAGGGACGACTGAAAACCGAATTCGACGAGGGAGATTTGGTCGTACTAAATCCTCATTCTCTAAACTTATTACGAGAAGAAAAAGGACGAGGAAAAAAGCTACTAATGAAGTACGATGGACCTTTCGAAGTTATCAGAAAACTCAGCCCAGTAACCTATCAACTACGACTACCAGTCTCTTATGGAATCCATCCCATACTGAACATCGCTCATCTCGAAGAATATAAACAGTCACCTGACGACTTCGGGGATCGCCCAATCAAAGCACTCAATCGGGACGACTTTGACAGATTACCAGAATACGAGATCGAAAGAATCGTGGCGCAACGATCACGCAAGATAAGAGGTCGCCGGGCACAACAGTATAAGGTCCGATGGAAGAATTACTCAGCGGAATATGATGAATGGCTGAGTCAAAGGCAATTGAGAAATGCACCGGAAGTTTTAGAAGCATGGAGAGCTTCGCTGACAAACTGACAAGAGAAATAATTGCCTAATAAGTAGGTTTCATGTGCTCAAACACACGAGCTATACTTCCATCGACTGCGGCCTTCACATTCAGACACTTTTTATCTCACGAGAATAGCTGCGCACGCCACACGGCCATCTCATGAAAGATCAAGAAGTATCCGGTTCTCAGACTCTATCGATTCCTCAAAGGGATCATTGAATCAGTAGATCAGAATGAACGGTTCGCGGCTTTGTTCTGAAACACAGATTCACATTATCTTCCCAAGAGGACCACAGACAAAGACGAGGTGGAATCTATGGATTACTGCGGAACGACTCATCCTACAGCTATTAAAGAAGGAAACGAAGCGAGAATGTCCATCCAACCACTCAACCACTGTTTTTCTTGTCTTAACCAAACGAATAGCGCCTATCACATGGTTCTACTCTCCCCCCATCTCTCTACCCCGGGGCCGATGCCCATGCAGCATATTTACCGAGGAAGCATTCGGACTGATCTCCGTGGGTGGTACTATGAATAAATTAACGGATCAATAAACTGATCAAGGAGATAGCGCGAAGATCGTTGGGAAGCTTCGAGTCGTTCAAAGAATTTCCTGCGCAGTTTCCGATTCTCCCCGAAGACGCGCAACCGGATCTAATGATTCACGCGGCGCTCGTTCAGTTGGGCTATGTCCTTCCACCATCGCAATTCCGGGCACGCCTCATCTCTCTTCTTGATTCCCCGGTCCGCTACAATCACCTCGGACCAGAATCCATGGTATTCAATCCCACTACGAATAAATATGCGGGCTCTATTCCCACGATGCGTCTTATTTATACATTACTTCATAACACCGCTGCGTTTATCACCTGCGCAGGTACAAACAAGATACTTCCTGATGTTGAGGAAGGTCCCGCGTGGGGTATGACTCGTCTAGCCTCCCTCCACATGGGTATGCAGTGCTTTGGAGCTATGTTGTTCGCATGGGCTCCGGAACATTATTTTGCCCTGCGCGAATGGGACACAGCTGAAGAAGCTTCGAACGCCCTTCGATCAGCGTTGTTCGCCCACAGTCACACCATTCTTCGCTGCGCCCTGATAATCGATTGCTGCTGGACGATGGGGCAGGACGGAGTTTGGAATTTAGGGGCTTATTTTGGATCACAGAAGAACGACGTGCTGCATGTGCGTTTTTTTTCTAATAACCCGCATCTTTATTGAAGGAGGTTCACGTTCACCAAGGAGTGCCTTTCTGGTGTCAAACCCGACGGATTCCGCGTCCGAGCACGTGTCCATTCAATTTTGAAATCGAGGACGATCTCACGATCCATCGACTATATCTACGCGCACCTCCTTTCTCCGGACCCCGCCGCTAACTTGACGGTTTTCTTTGATGAGGATCTGGGACGGCAATATATAGCGCTGTGGCCCATGGTTCATCGACCCTTGCACGTCCGACAGGCGCCTTTCGAGCATTATCTCACGCTGCTGATTGCTAACATGGATCAGTCATTTGGACAAATCACTGATTCTATTCGGTGTAACGCCCCCGATGTTTCTCCACAAGTTGTCTTCGCTCAATGGCAACTTTATCTAGACGATGTGGTGATCGCTTCGAATGACAGCGAGGGAGATCAAATGCCGGATCTTATTTCGGTTACTGCCGACGATGGACAGGAAGATCCTCCTGAGTACGAAGGAGATCAAATGACGGAGACTCAGTAAATACTACTATATTTTCAAAAAAAAAAGGGAAATGTAGTTCTTTGTTCTTCTTGATTGCTCTATAGTTCTTATCCATGTGATCACATTGAGGCAGGGAGGGATATGTCATGGATCTAAGACATTTACAATTTATATTTGTAAATGTTGACTGATTGATTTAATGCTTCTTCGTGATCAATGGATCAAAAACCCTTAGTTACAGTATATGATTTACATAGCCTTTCTCTGCCTTGCTGCGTACATAGCATTTCTGACATTTACTACGGAGCGCAGCTATAAGCTATGAACACAGCCTTTTTGTGTAAATTATATAAAAGATTGACCCTCTCAGTGGAGGGGCATCTTACCTTTGAAATCACATCTGTTATCTACACTCTGACTTGCCTTTGAAGCTTACAAGCTTCATAACTCTTATCAATTACATCTACTGCGTTGCTAAACCGGTAGTTTATTGATATATTATTCTACGTTCGCATTTTGCTAAATCTGTGAACTCAAGAGTACTCTAATTGTTGATATATTCAACAATTCCCGACTACCGGATATTGGACCCATTATATAAGAGTCCCAATAAACCTCGCTCTTGCGTCAATAAGATTAATAATCATAACTGCGTGATTATTCAACACAAATCTATTGATTTTGTTAACAACTGGTGACTGCTCCCCGAGGCGTTCTTTGTGAATGGGGTGGTCGCTGAGGAGAAGGTAGTCCGCTTCACCCTCTCCTACATGTCCAAGGACTCGGCGGCCTCCTGGTCCAAGCGCATGTCTGAGCGCACCCCATTCCCGTTCCCTACTTGGGCTCTGTTTGTCACCGAGTTCAAGCTCCGATTCGTCGAGGAGAACGAGCAAGACCACGCCTTGGCGCGACTGGACACCCATCAGTATTATATGGGCTCCCGTGACGTATTCAAGTACACGGACGAGTACAACAACCTCCTTGACCTCGCTGGTTATACCGACAACTTGGTCAAGGTGACCAAATATAGGACGGGCTTGGACCCGAGGATCAACCAAGCCATCACCACCTCTGGTAACCCTCCCAGCCTTACCGACTACGCCAAATGGCGTGTCCGTGCGTTCCGGCAGTACAATATGGAACTCGCTGCCAGAGCTTCTCGAGGCCACGCAGTGCCTCCTCCCCGAGCGCCTGCTGTTGGCCCCCATCCTCGTGCCCCGGTGCTCCCTGCTGTAGCACCGGCAATTGCTGCTCGCCCGGCGCCGGCTCCTGTTGCCCACCCCATCCCCATGGAGTTGGATCGGACCCGGCTCCGCGGTGACGTTCGCCGCACCTGCTTCCGCTGCGGCAGTCCGGGTCATCTTGCCTGTGACTGCCCCACCCCAGCTGATATCCGTCACACCAATGTCCTCAATGAGGTCATCAACCAGCTGGGAAGTGAGTTGCTCTCTGAGTTGGTTGCCCGGGTCGCGACCACTGCAGCCGTTGTGGATCACGCGGCTGATGTCGCAGCTGAGGTGGAACAGGGTTTTCTCCCCAGCGACAAGTGAGTAGTACGTGCTCGTTTGCTTCACGTAATCGTTTCTCCTGTTTGTATGATGAATCCAATCCTGTCCACTCTGCAACAGTTGAAACGATAGACCCCGCCTCCAACCCCACGAGTCCGCAAGGAGAAGTGGGAACGCAAGCTCCCTTCCTGCTATGTCGTTGCCGCCTCCTCCGGGGCCAATTCCCTCAACCTCCCCCTGGAGATCAAGTCCACCGACAATGCAGTAAAGCTATCTCTCAAAGGCCTAGTCGATTGTGGCGCTACATCTGACTTCATCGACTCGGCCTACATCCTTGAAAATCACCTCCCCGTTCATTGCCTCACCCAGCCTATCCCCGTTTACAACGTGGACGGCACGCCGAGCAACACCGGTTCCATTCGCGAAGTTGCTGATGTGGTTCTCCGTTACCAGGGCCACAGTGAACGCGTGCAGCTCGCTGTCACCCGTTTAGGCAAGCAGCAGCTCATTCTAGGGTACTCCTGGCTCCGGAAGCACAACCCGGAGATCAACTGGGATACTCAGGAGGTAAAGATGAGCTGTTGCCCTTCCGGTTGCTCCACCTGCCGGGAGGAACTTTGCGAAGAATGTCAATCTGCCAGAACCGCGGCCCGGGTGCTTCGCACCATCAGACAAGGTCCGGTTCCATCCATCTGCGCTGTCGACGTTGAGGACCACAAGGACAAAGAGATGTCGGAGCTTTCGCCAGACTCGGACAATTACGACCCTGAAGATGTCAAAGAAGATGACGACTCCTTGGAAGCCAGTGACTGTATCTTTTACACCCGCCTCAACCCTTCTGAAAACATCCGAGCCACCAGCACCATCTCTCAGCGACTTGCCGAGGCGTTTGCTAAGAACTCTGCACCCCCTCGGGATACCATCCCCGAGTGGCCCCGCGAGTTTGAAGATGTTTTCAGCAAGGAGTCCTTCGACAACCTGCCAGAGCAACGCCCCTGGGATCACGCCATTGAACTGGTCCCCGACGCGAAGCCGACCAACTGTAAGGTCTACCCCATCTCCCCTCTCGAACAGAAGCAGCTCGACAACTTCATCAAGGAGGGCATGGCTACTGGCAGGATTTGGCCGTCAAAATTGCCCATGGCGTCTCCCGTCTTCTTTGTGAAGAAGAAGGACAGCAGCTTATGGTTTGTCCAAGATTACCGAGCGCTAAACGCGATGACAGTGAAGAACCGCTACCCACTCCCCCTGATCAATGATCTCATCAACAAGCTCAAGGGCGCTCGGTTCTTCACCAAACTCGACGTTCGCTGGGGCTTCAACAACGTACACATTCGTCAAGGCGACGAGTGGAAGGCAGCGTTTCGGACAAACCGTGGGCTCTTTGAGCCGTTGGTGATGTATTTTGGCCTGACCAATTCCCCCGCAACGTTCCAGACGATGATGAATGACATACTTCAGGATCTCATCCTCTCTGGTGACGTCATGGTGTACCTCGACGACATTCTCATTGCACATTCCGATATCCACCGTCACCGGGAAATCGTGAACGAAGTCCTCCAACGTCTCCGCAAGAACAAGCTCTACCTTCGCGCGGAGAAATGCGAGTTTGAGATGCCGTCGATCGAATACCTTGGGGTGATAATTTCCCACAACCACGTGGAGATGGACCCGGTCAAGGTCGCAGGTGTGGCGGAGTGGCCAGCTCCGGCTAACAAGAAGGAAGTGCAGCAGTTCCTTGGCTTCACTAACTTCTACCGGAGGCTCATCCGGGATTTTTCGCACGTTGCCCGTCCTCTCTTTGATCTCACCAAGAAGGACGTGGCATGGACTTGGGGCGCTGATGAGGCAGCTGCGTTTCTTGCGCTGAAGAACGCTGTTACCTCTACCCCAGTCCTGCAGCTCCCGGATGCTTCCAGGTCTTACCGCCTCGAAGCAGACAGCTCGGACTTTGCAACCGGTGCTGTCATCTTGCAGCAGTCCCCCGTGGATGACAAGTGGCATCCGGTTGCCTTCTTCTCGAAGAGTCTTAATGAGGTCCAGCGGAACTACGAAATCCACGACAAGGAGATGCTCGCCATCGTCCGCACCTTGGAAGAGTGGCAACACTTCCTCGAGGGCGCCGAGCACCCCGTTGAGATCTGGACCGACCACAAAAATCTGGAGTACTTCCGGTGAAATGCTGATGGCGCGCTCACAAGTGAATCTACTATGAAAGTAAACCCAAATATAAACACGTTCACACTCCTTGTAATCAGCTTCTCAGTGTGTGAAAGGTGCGAGGGCTTCAGGGTGGACAGAACACCAGTATCGCAACTCTCAATAGACGCAGATCAATAGTCGCGGGAGACGAAGTCGACAACAAGAATTTATATATAGTAAACAGTGGTGTCTCAACCAATATCTTCTATATGAACACAACCAACACTAATCCAATCACAACCAACAATATAACAAGTCAGAGCTTGATACGGAGTATTAAGATCCCTTGTAGCGACAGCGTCCAGATGGCGACGCAAAGCCCAAATATCAAGTCGACGCACTGCCAACTGATGCAACCAATATACTGAGTCAACGCACTGCCAACTAGTAAACCAAAATGCCGCATCGACGCACTGCCAACTAAGACAACCAAAGTACTGAGTCAACACACTGCCAACTAGTAAAACCAAAATGCCGCGTCGACGCACTGCCAACTAACAGCCAATATCCAATGTCCAAAACCCGAGCACAACTTGTCGACGCACTGCCAAGCAAGAAGTGTGGAACCAAAGTTCTCAAGTCGACGCACTGCCAACTGACCAAAAAAACCCAAGCACAACTAGTCGACACACTGCCAGGCTAGAGGTGTGGAACGATCTCAACAAAGCCCGAAGGCGACGACACTAAATGCCGCGACTAAACCAGATGCGGCAAATCCGACTTTCTGATATCTCAACTCAAACTCAAATCACAGTAGCTACAAGTGCTCAGGGAGCAACTCGTCGCAACCGGGCAGGGGCAACAGAACTTCTTAGGGCAGAATCACGCGACACGCAAATTGCACAAAAACAATCTGATATGAGGATGATTCACAGTCTGGGGGAAAGCTTCCTAATACAAAGAAACAACGCACTACTTATACTGTCTACGACAATGCTTAGTAAAGTCCTGTACAACTGCATAGTAGCTACGCTATCTAAGATCAGTTGCTTTTTATGGTAATGAAAAGTTGAACAATCAGACAGGTCCTGAATGATCAGGACCCCGCCCCATAGTCCATATGGTACTTTTGATGTGGGTCAACCCACCGCGTCATACTTTGGAATACGACGTGCTGGATTGGCCAACGGGTATGTCTTGGCAGGTGAGTCCAACGTGGGTGCCCCAAGAAGCTTTGGTTCACGGATCTAGCTGTGTTGACTTCTAATGTGTTTGGGTATGGACGCGACTCGCCGTGACACTTGGAAGTGTCCCCGTGACGCGTCCACAATGTCCTGTGATCGAATGGATCCTGACATGTGACAAGTTGTCACCGTGGCATGATCTGAGGAAACTTCCAACCCAAAAACTGGGAGTTGCCGCGACAAGATTGGTTCAATCTTGTAATGTCAAGTCCTGTCCAGTAATAGTTATATTATTGAGAACGTTGCACATTGCTCAGCCCTTCAGCCCAAGTTCCCATCTGCAGAGAATGACCCTTTTGAGAAGTCGCCGCAACAAAAGATCCCTTTTTGGGGAATTGTCGCGGTCCAAGTGTTCGTCACTAATGGCCCCGAGCCTGGTGTAGACTCATAAGACCAATTCCACAGTAGTGGTCTGACTGCCTTGCTATTGTCGACACTATCCACAGTTGTCGACTGGGCAGTAGACCCTTAAGCCCTACTGAGCGCAACACTGTCAACCGCGACACGATACACCAAATGGTTTGAGAGTAAACTCTGTAAAAAGCGCAAAAATACATCCTTACAGGGCTGGTGCAGTGCGCGTCTGGTAGCCAGCCTATCACCGGAAGAACCAGAATCTCAACCGTCGCCAAGCCCGCTGGTCCCTCTATCTGTCTCGCTTCGACTTCACCCTGCACCACCAACCTGGCCGCCTCATGGGCCGCCTGGATGCTCTCTCGCGCCGCCCCGACCACGGAGTCGCTTCGGACAACGCAGACGTCACACTGCTGCGCCCGGAGCTGTTCCATGTCCGGGCCTTGGAGGGTCTCATTATCTCTGGACCCAAAGCCCCTCTCCTGCGCGACATCCGGGAGGCCCTCGCCCGTACCGCTGACATGGAGGAGCCCATCATGTTGGCAGCACGTGAGCTCCTCAAGGAGCACGGAGTTCGCTCTGCCCGGGCTGCGGAGTGGCGAAAAGAAGGTGGCCTGCTCTACTTCCGTGGGAAGCTGCTGGTTCCACGCAACAACGACCTCCGCCAACGCATCCTCGAGCAGCACCACAACACCTGCGTCGCAGGGCATGCTGGCCGCTTCAAGACGTTGGAGCTTGTCTCTCAGAACTACTGGTGGCCCCAGTTGTCTCGACACGTCGGCTGGTATGCGGCCACCTGTGACCTGTGTTGCCAAACCAAGGCGCTTTGCCAACTCCCAATCGGGGAACTCCATCCCACGGAGGTCCCTTCGGAGCGCTGGGAAGCGGTGTTGGTTGACTTCATTGTGCATCTGCCAGACGCTCACGGGTATGATGCTATCATGGTCGTTGTTGACATGCTTGGGAAGCGCAGCCACTTTATAGAGTGCCACACCCGGCTCTCTGGTGAAGGTGCCGCCAGGCTTTTCTACAAGAACGTCTGGCACCACCATGGGCTGCCTTCTAAGTATGTCTCTGACCGCAGTTCCCAGTTCATAGCAGAGTTCACGCAGGAGCTGTGGAAACTGGTCGGGGTCTCATCGGCAATGTCTACGGCTTGGCATCCACAGACGGACGGCCAGACCAAGCATGTGAACCAGGAGCTCAAACAGTTCCTCCGGATCTTCACCAGCTACAACCAGGACGACTGGGACAAGCTTCTTCCCGCTGCAGAGTTTGCCTACAACAACCATGTTCACTCAT